CTGACTTCTTCCCTAACCTTTTGGTCCAGCTTTGGAGATCTCACCACACACTCTTCTTTCATCCTGTAACAAAGAGGGTTTTACAGCTCCAAGGTCAGCCTGGGAGAAGGACTCCAAAATGTACATCTAAGAAGACAAACAGGTTGCCTCTGGGACTGGAAAGGGCCATGCCCAAGATGGAGGAAGCCACAGATAGCTGGCACTGGATTGAGCAGGACTGTGAGCAGGGAATGGGCCCTGGGCCTCTCCCTAGACTAGCTGTCCTTCCTCATCCATTTCCTTCCTCCTTAGTCATTTTCAGTTTCTTTTTCTACCTCTTTGAGCTCCCTCCTTTAACCCCACCTTGAGCTTGCTAGGCTAAGTTCCCACCCCCCTTCACTTTTCCAGTGGGCATTCATACCTTCCATCTCTTCCTAGTCACTCATCGCATTTGCTGGTAGCCATGGATACACTTGAACTTCGTGAGACTCAGGTGTCCCCACCTAAATACCCAGAGCTACCATAAGGAAGGAATGAGCTTCCCTCCAGAATAAGAAAAAGTTTGACGGGAAGGAATAGATATATGGCTGGTTACTGAATATATAATGGTTGGCTGCTGACTAGCTGGTGAAGACGGCTATCTTGACATTGTACATGAAGATCTGTGTGTGAGGTATAGTGTGAGTCTGTGACCTTACGTATGAAGTATATGACACCTGCTGAGCACAGGTGTCATACATAGTAGGCAACCAGAGAAGCTGGCAGCCTAAGGCATGCTGGCAGTTTCCCCACTGGAGTATTTAACCGCAAAGGGAAGAGCAATTAACACTAATCGCTCATAGCGCCTGGGGGCCAGACACATAACCTAGAGAAACAGGACACACATGTTCACATGTTCCTTCTAAACCCCTGCCTTTTTCACCCTTCCGAAGTTCTGATCCTCTTTAACCTGCACCCCAGCATTCTTCTGGTTCCTCTGGCCACTCCTTTCTCTCCGTGGTTCCCTCTATGGATCTCTGTCCTTTCTCCATGTCTGTCTTCTCACACATCCCCTCCCCCCCTCAACTTGGGTTCCATCCTTGGCTGACTCATTTTTTTTCACCCTCTCTTGCTTCTACTCCCTCCTCCATCCTTGGGCCACATCGATGCCTAGAATCTCGCCACTCCCAGGTACCCCATGCTCTAAACGTGCAGTCAGCAAGAAAGGTCACAAGAAGCCCCTCACCCGGGTAAGAACATAGGCTCACCAGTCCTTGAGGTATTGTCTACTAAAGCTGTCCATAAAAATCTGGGTGTGTTTGTGGTCAGTGGCCCTTCCATCCACTACTCAACATTCCTGTTGAGGATGATGTCTTAGAGCCGCCGGTCAAGGAGACTCCACATGGGAGGCAGTGGGTTGTGGTGGGTGGGTGGGTGGATGCGTAGTGCAGGGATGTTGTGATTTGGTTTGTATGCGAGGATGTGTGTAAGTCACATGGGTGTGTGTCACTGTGTGGTTAGCTTTTTTCTTAAACGTGTTTGTGTCCCTGTCGGTTTTGACATGGATTTTTTTTTTTTAAATTAATTAGGGTCTTTACGTAGGCTACATCATTCCTCTGCACCCCCAGCTCCTTCCTCCTTTCCTCCGGGCAAGCTTCCACCAATCCCACTCTCCCCAGACGCAGTAGACTGGGTGTGAGAGCACACGTACCAGCTGCCCGAGGAACTGAGGCAGGGCTGAGCCGAGCCCGAAGACCGCCTGCAGAGGCGAGTCCGAAGCTAGAGCGAGGAGGGAGGGGCGGGAGCTGGCCTGGCCCGGCCGGCTGGGCGGGAAGCAGGCTACATCCTAATCCCCAGGCCCCATCGGACTCCCAAACTGCTGTTCAGCACAGAATGGGCGGACGAAGCCACTCAGCCGGCAGCACAATCCAGACTCTGGATGCACTGACATGAACCCCACGAGGCCTGACACCGTGGACCTGTCTGGATCCTCAAGCTCCCCTATTTGTCCCCCGGGTTCAGGATCGTGACCTCTCCAAACCCAGACCACCAACCTACCCCCTCCCCACGACACATCTCCCCTGTGTCCCCTCTCACCGCCTCCGGAGCTGAGAGCTCAGGGTGCGGGCACTCCTGGGTCCCCGGTTCCTAAGCAGCGTCTGGAGCCTGCTCCTTGGCTCCTGCCGCCGCTGCCGCCGCTCCTGCCGCCGCCGCCTCTTCCGCCCGTGGAGCAGAGCCTGAGCCCAGCACCGCCTCACCCCACCCGACTGGCCGGTGATGTCAGAGCCGGGGAGGGGCGGGGGGCGGGGAGCGGCGAGAGAAGGGGGAGGGGAGGCAGGAGGGGACAGGGAGTGTGGACCGCCGTTCTGGAAGACTCCGAGGATGCGGGCAGTACTGGGCTAGAGTGTGAACTCTGCCTCTTTCACTTAAACTGTGGAACAATCCTCAGATTACGTTTTCCCAGCGGGTCGCTCTTCTGCCCCCTGGCCTTTGGATGATCACGGTGGCCAGGACCCCTGGAAGGCGGAAGCAGTTTGAATTGGGGGATTTGGAAAGTCTGTGGCCTCCGGGTTCACTTGGCTACTTTGCTTTGGTGTGTGGGAAAACCTCCCTCCTAGCCTTATAGGTCAGAGGATCAGTAGAAAATGATCAAATTTATCCACGCTAGGAATAGAATGGGGATGGGGGGCAAGGAGCAACAGGGTAATAATCTCTTTTACTTGGCCTGGAGCCATGATCGCTTCTGGATAATAGCAGCTGGACCTCTGTGCTCCTGCTGCCTTTCCCAAATATACCCCCACACACTCACTTCCTACGCAGACACACACGCGCACACACACACACACACACACACACACACACACACACACACACACTATGATGTAATTTTATTTTCTGGGGGAAAAAAGCCATGAGCTCAGCATGCAAATATAGACAACTAACAAAGCCACACTTTGCTGTCTCCTGGCTCTGTCCCTCTGCCAAGGCCCAGTGTGATAATTCTCACTTCCCCTCCACCTCGGGGGACTTTCCTCCCCCAGATTCTCAGCCAGACTGAAAGAGGGGAGGAGGAATTGGAGAAGCATCTGATTTTCACCCCATTTGAAGCATAAGGGATCTCAGCTCAACTCTGGAAGTGTCTGGCCTTGCAAAGTATGAACATCTCCCAGTGTTTGCATGCCTCTACTCCCCATGTTGCCTCAGTTCCAGCTTGGTAGAGACCCTTCCAGAAGCCTCAATGAGTCCTTCCTTTCTTGAGGGCCACGCTTCTGGGAGAAGCAGGTCACGTTCCTGCCCCTTAAGTCTCCATAGTGCTTCTCTTTGCCCTTCTCCCCTCTGAAGATAACATACCCTCAGAATTTGTCTTTGTTTCTAATTCTCCCTGTGTTGTAGGGCCAAAATCTATCTTGTTGACCCATCTTTGAGACTCAGAGGAACTGTACAACATGTCGTATTTAAATGAAGCGAATCAGTCAGGCAATGAGACAGAGAGAATGTGGACATCATGCTTACTGTTTCCTTAGACATTAAATCCATAAAGGTCAGTGTCCTCACCAGCCAGATGAGGATGTTAGTGTCACTAAAGGGCTCTTCTGAGAACCAGAAATACTAAGTCTTTGGGGACTGGTACCAGATAGGTGTTTAAAAAGGTGTTTGGTCTGGTATCTTTCACTGACCTATACTAAACAAACCCTATAATATTTTTATGATGTAACCTAACACCCCATTACTTATTAGTTATCCATTAGGTGTGAACGGATTGATTGAATGTTTGATTTCTGTTCTGATACTTCTGCCGTTTTCTCTAAGAGCACTGCCTGCATTTGTCTGTGGAGAGTGAAAACTTCTCTAATCTCAGGGCTCATTTTCCCATACTTAGACATCTACTAACATTCCATTGGCTTCACAAAAACTAGTACAATGCATAATAGGGTGGTACACACCTATCATGTCAAGATTCAGAGTGTTGAGGCAGGAGGGCTCCCATTTTGGGCTACATAGTGATACCCTATCTAAAAACAACCACAATGTCTATTTAGAAGCTTATTCAGCAGTTTGGTTCTTCATGCTCCCAACTTGTCTGTGCTTACTGAACCTATCCTGGGGCGGGGGGCTTTTTCACAAAACTCCAACAGGTCTAAATCTGATGCATGCTCTTTGTTCAAAAGTCAAAGCCTCCTCATTACCATGACCACCACATGGGTCCAGATTCTCCCCAACTCACTGATTATACAGTTTCTGAGTAGGGGTGAGGCTCCTTGCTTCTGCCTTTGCATCATCTCCCCTCCCCAAGTCTATCCTGGGTCTTGCTACTAGTTGAAATTTTGCCCTTCTACCCATGTTCTTAGGATTTAGTTCAAACACTTGTACAAACCACACCCATTATGCTTACCCAGCCCCATGGCCACAACTTGAATTTCTCTTTACTTTTCTGGCCTCCGGTGCTGTGTGTGCCAAAATGACAAACACACCCTGCTAATGCTTTCAGTTTTTTTTCCATCGACCAGAATGTCCCTGTCCCAACTCCTTCGCCTCCAGTCAGACCCCCCTCTTCAGTTGAAGGTCTTGAAAAGGTTTGCTTCTCTTGTGGGAGTCACCGAGTCCGTTCTTATCCCCCTCCCCTACCTTGCTTTTTCATTCTTTCTCTAAAAAACCACGGGGACAATTCTTTATGCACAAGGTCCTATAGAAATGAAGAGAAAGTCTGGGTTCCTGCCTTCAAGACTCAACTTAGTGGCTGTGTAACTGAAGAACAGTAACCAAGGGTATTAGGTACAAGAACGGAGGTGTACACAGAAAGGGCAGCAGGGACCATGAAAGGAGATGGCTGGACCACCAAAGGTCTGGAGAGACCTTACTGAGGAAGACAATGGACTCAGTCTTGATGTTCAAATAAAGAGCTTCTGGGAGGGCACTGTCCAGCAGCAACATAATGAATTACATATTGCTGTGTTATTCTTTAGTTGTTTAGGGTGCTTGTCTTGACTTTTCAGCAAGGCCAGTCAGCTCAAGAGCAGGGACAGGCCTGGCACTGTCTGTTCCTCCAGAGCCCAACAACAGCACTGGACAAACACCATGTGTTCAGAAAAGGCTCGTTGACTGGAGGCAGATAAATATCCAGCCTTCCCTGGAATAACTGCCCGGAGAAAGCCCCCCACCCCTGCTGATCAGCCCCCCAGCTCACTCCTAACAAGGAACTCACAGTTAAATCTCCCGTCCAATGGTCACCTCCCTCCTGCCATGAGGGTGAGACTCCAACAACAGACGCTTGCTCATTCTGCCCCAGATCTCTTTATTAAGGCCTTGTGTTTGACCCAAATACATTAACAAAAGATAGGTGAGATATATCCCTGAACACAGTACCTCCTTCCTCCTGGCCAGGGTCAGGACAGTCATAAAGGTTTAAGATTTGAAAAGTGGGAGACTGTGTTGATAGGAGGGACAGAGAAGAGAGGGCAAGAGAATCAGAAAGTATGGGGAGTAATAGGAGAGAAACAGATACAGAGAAGGTATAGGATAAGAAGTGAGAAAGATGAAAGCTGGTATCTCAGGAAAAGCTGCTCCTTTTCTGTCATCGAGGGACACCAGGACCTCAAGCACCCTGTATATAGACCACAGTTGGCCCTATAGTAGAGAATGACCTAGTGTCCCAAGGAGCTCAGGGAAGTGCGTGGACGGTAGGAAGGTACATGTAAAGAGCAAGTGGGGCTGGTAGGTGGTTGCCACAGCAACTAATCATCATCGTCGTCGTCATCATCATCATCATCATCGTCATCGTCGTCATCATCATCATCCTCTGTGTTGATTTCACCCTCCAGCACATCTTCCAGCCAGTCCTCCAGTTCCTCAGCAGAAGGCAGGTCCTCCTCATTGTCCATCTCCATCCATATGCTGTCCGCCTAGGTGGTGGCACAGGTATGGAATAGAAGCTCAGTTTAGTACAGACCTGTCCTCCCGCTCACTGTAATCCACTGTACATCCCTTCCTTGCCTCTTTCAGTGGCCAGAGAAACTCTCCTGGTGAAGATCAGAGTTAAAATAGTGATGGATAGGAGTGGAAAGGAAAGGTGAGTTGGCTAAAGGCCTCCCTTCAGTCTGTCTCCTTTACAGTTGCTGTCCTGAGCTGCTGCAAGCATACATCTCTATCATGTCTGTGATGTGAAAGCATCATGGCTGCTCACGGCCAACAGAATCAAGTCAGATGCCAGCACTCTGGGATTTTCATAAAATGATTTTTCTAGTAATAGCTTCAGTGATCTTAAACTCTAAAACCCAAACCTGTTATTCACTCTTTTTGCTGTCTTTTTGTTGGTAGTAGTGTTATTTTTTTTACTTTTTTTTATGATAACGATATGCTCTTGATGGCGCACACCTTTAATCCCAGCACTCGGGAGGCAGAGGCAGGTCGATCTCTGAGTTTAAGATAAACCTGGTCAGGACAGCCAGGGCTATATATTAAAAACAAAGAAACAAACAAAAAACCCTGTCTCAAATGCCCCCCCCCCCCCAAAAAAAAAGAAGTGTACTTGCTGTGTAGCCTTGGCTGGCTGGCCCCATAGTCTTCTGTGTAACCCAGGCTGGCTCTGAACTCACTGAAGTAAGGACTCCAGCCTTTGCCTCTGCAGTGCTTAGATTACAGGCATGTACCACCATGCCTGACTTTGCTTTTGTCCTTGGAGCACTCTCCACTCTCAGTTTGGAGACTCGCATTTGCCCCTTATTGAAATCTTGGACACTACACGATCTCCATTGTAATGCTACTTTCTCTGCAACTCAACTCCGGGACTCTCAAGCAGAAGTCACAGCCTTGCTAGCATTTTATTTATATTATAAAATTGTCCAGAGCTAGCCTCACGATTAATGGGATAACATGCCCATTCCATCAGACTGAGGATACCGTGAAAGCAGAGGCTGCGCTACTCAATTCAGCTCAACAAATACGTAGCTGCTAGGAAAGATAGGCTGCTAAAAGGCAAGTTCTCAATGCCAGTGAGCTCCAAGGGTGCCATAGAGGAAGTAATTCCTAAGAGAAACTTAACAGAGGACAAAGAAGTTGAACTGGACTTTGAAGAATGACCACGTGATTCCAGCGAGTGGATGATTCAAATGCTCAGATCACGCGTTCCCACCCCACAGGTCCAGCCATTAGATCAGAATGTCTCCTGCTCTTGGGCAGTGTTTGCTTCCCAGTTAGCAGCAGTGTGGAAGAGAACTAGCTATACTGAGACACTGGTGCTCTGTAGAAGGCCATATACCACCCCAACCACACCCGCTCTCATCTGATCATGGAAGCAAGGTTGAGCCTGGTTAGTACTTGGGTGGAAGATGATCTGGTGCACAGCCAGGGATGAGGAAAGGAAACTCACATCTGTAACATTGACAACTCCTATTTGTGGAGCTGACAAGTCGATGTCAAACGTCTTCTCCCAGTACGGAACCAGCTGTGGGGAGAACCAAATACATCAACTTGACAGAGGGTAGGAGTACACAAGTCCATCCGAGGATGAGAGTTGGGCCAGGGATAAAAGGAGGCAGGATGAGCTGGCAAGGAATGAAGGGCAGCCTAACCATGGACCCACAAGCTTGTAGGGAAAGCTAATCAGTGAGAGAGTAGAAACCTCCAAGCGGAAAGATGAGGAAGGCGGTTTCTCCCTTGGGAGGAGCAGTAGAACAGAAACCCTGCTTTGTTCCTGGGTCTGCTTATGATTGGCTGCTTTGTTCCTGGGTCTGCTTATGATTGGCTGCTTTGTTCCTGGGTCTGCTTATGATTGGCTGCTTTGTTCCTGGGTCTGCTTATGATTGGCTGCTTTGTTCCTGGGTCTGCTTATGATTGGCTGCTTTGTTCCTGGGTCTGCTTATGATTGGCTGCTTTGTTCCTGGGTCTGCTTATGATTGGCTGCTTTGTTCCTGGGTCTGCTTATGATTGGCTGCTTTGTTCCTGCTTATGATTGGCTGTGTACCTTCGGGCAACTCACTTCTCTCTGCAGAGCCCTTAGTTCCTACATCTCTTTTGTTAAGATTTATTTTTCTTATTTTTACTTATACGCGTTTGTATGAGTGTTTACCTTGTGTGTATATACCTTCAGAAGAGGTATGGATCCCCTATAGCTGAACAATCACCATACATGGGTGCTAAGAAATGAACTCAGGTTCTCTGGATGAGAACCTCTAACCTCTGAGCCGTCTCTCCAGCCCAGTTCCTACATGTCTTTAACATAAGCAATTTTTCCTGGCAATCATCAGTATTCTGTCACATTCCTGCTTGCTCATTTAACAATAAAAGTTAGATGTTGGGGGACTCCCATGTGCTGTGCTGTATCCAGCCGCTCACCAGAGTACTGCTTTTCAGCTCTGGTACCTAATTACTGTCCCCGTCTCATCTGGGAATCACATATTATGTCCCATGCAATTCACTCTTCTCATCCCCGTTCCCCTTGCTCAGGATGCCCTCTGTGTCTACATCGCTCATGAGCATGCAGCAGGCGTAACTTTCTGGGTCCCCAACTAGGATATAGGGCTAGGAATTCTGAAACAAAAAAAGTCGTCCCAGGCCAAGTCCCCACATTAGGATCCCAGTGCTTGAGGAGGGCCTCTTACCAGCGGGAAGTCATCAGGGTCAATCCAGATGATACTAAGGTCAGGGTTTTCGGTGTTGTCTTGGGCCACAGCCTTGAGAGTCTCTAAGAACTCGTAACCATCTTGGAAGGAGGAGAAGCAAGGAAAGTGAGGTGGAGCAGAGAGGAAAGGGAGACAGGAATCCAGGCATGTTTCCTCTCTTCCTATACTAACACACTTCAAGCCCCAGGCTGCTTGCAAACTCCCGGGAATGCCTTCCCTGTGGGCTTGTGATGCAGCAAACACACCACCCACCCCTGGCTTCCCCCAGGCCACCTCAGTGCTCCTTCCTCACCAGGATCAGCTTCCTCTGCAAAGGCCACAATGTGGATTCCATCCAGATCATCCTCCTGTTGGAGGATGAGGAGAGGAGCAGGGTTAGAGCTGGGGCAGACCTTACTCTACTCCTGGCCAGCCCCTTGGTGCTTGAGTCCAAATCACAGAATGCCAGCTTGTATTTTCATGGGGGTGACTCTTTTCTGAGTGATAGCCCTTTACCCTCAGAGTTTGAAAGCCTTGTCGTATTCATTCACTTATGCCTGTCATCTGAGATGTGTTCTTCAGTACAAAAACCTTGACTGTGATACTGCTCTTTTCTCTTTTTTTCTTTTTCTTTTTCCCTAGCTGAAGGCACAAGGAAGAGCAGGGAGAGCCATTTCTAAGGTTCTGGTTCTTTCTAAGCACCAGGTCCTGGGAGAGGTACTCACCCAGGTCTCATACATACTCTCAGGCTTCAGTTTCCTCAGAGTCGATCTGGAAGAGAGACAGAGGGTCCCTACTCAGTGGGTGGGAAGAACATCTCCCTCCAAAATGTCCCCACAGCTGAAGCCACCTCTGGGTCAGGCCTAGGGCATAGACAGCTTGTATCCCAGAACAAAGCCAGCTAGCAAATCTAAGCTCTGGGCATCAGGCCTGGGTCATTTCATGGCTGCTAAACAATGGTTAGTGGGAAGGGAATGGCTGGAAGAGAGACTTTGTGGGGGAAAGGTAAGAACTGGCTATCAGGGTAGTCCTTTATTTTTTCTTTCACTCATTCAATAAAATTGTCAGCCTGGGCTCAATAGAATTACATGCCTAATGTGTGCCAGCCCCTGGGTTCACTTCCTGGTACTAGGAGCGGGGAGGGGCTGAGATACTCTGTAAGTACTGAGTTAGGTATTGGCTAGAGTTAAACTATGCAAACACATCTTGCCCCGATGAAAGAGGCCAGAATCTAGTGGGAGAGAGTAAGTGGTATTTAGACTGATGAGTGGGTACTTCTAGCTGTGGAGTCACATGAAGGGAGAGAATGATGTGTGAGTGTAGGGCAGGGTTGCTCAGCACCTCTGTAGGACGCTTAGTAGGATCTCTGACTTCTAATTACCGAATACCAGCAACACTCCTCACAGCCAAAAATGTCCTGGAAACATTGCCTCACAGCCACTGGGAGGCAAAATTCTTGCCCCTCTACCTCTGTTGACAGCTGCTAGTGTCGCAAATAAGCAAAGGTATAGGACTGAGTTAAGGCTTAAATTTCAGTTCTGACTCTTCTTCCCCTTGACGCCTCTTTCACTGAGGATGGTAAAAGAATTAAATTTAACAACGGAGAGAAGGTGCCTTATAAGCCCCTGGTCAGAACACCGGCACTCACTACTCCTTTGTTGACAAATTACTTAAATCATAATCAGCCCCACAGTCCAATACACATTTCCAGAGGACTTTCTCTGTATAGGGCTCAGAGCTAAGTTCTGGGGTACAAAATATAATGCAGAACTACTGGTGTATCAGTGAGCACCAATGCCCAGAAGTGTATTCATCTCCAGCAGAGGCTGTCTTCCAGGTGGGCTTAAGTTTCCCAGCCCACCTCACAGACTGGTTGGTGTTCTAGCCCCAGGAGGAACCTGCCTCACTAAGAGGGTTGCTCAGTCCTCACCTCCTGTGCTCCTCCACGAAGTTGACAATCTCCTCTTCACTGTTGGGTTTGTCTGGGATGGTCACAGGCTCGTCCATGAAAGCCTCATAGAAATCAATCTCGTTCATCTTCAGGGTCAGTTTCTTTGCCACCTTTGAGGAAGCAGACAAGAGTTGTGGAGTAGGAGGTGCAGGGTCAGAGTGAGAACCAGCACAAAGGAGGAACAAGCTGCAGAAAAGGAGTCAGAAAATGTGGGTCTGTGTCACTACCACAGGGGCTCTGGGGGAGTGTCTTCTCTGGGTTAATTTGCCATGACAAAGGTGGGTTAGACAATCCAGTGCCCCTCTTCCCTTCATGTCTACAGGAGAAGGAAGGGATGAGTTTGGGGTGGAGAGTACCAGCATGTAGAATGGGACCAAGACCCCATCAATTTTGGGAGAGAAGCCGGGGTACAACTTAAGAGTGTAGGGGGACCCAATATGACTACAGGGAAGAGAACCTTGCTGTCGAAGGTAGCGAAGAAAGGGATGTAGGGATGAAACTCTTCAGCTGCATCCTCGTAGGCTTTGTAATCTGAAGGGGAAGAAGGGATAGTCATTCTCAGGATCTGCCAGAGAATCATCCCCTTGGCTTCTCTGCAGATCTTTCTTGACATGTGGGCCACAGAATGAGACCCATCCCCTCTGACCTCCAGTTCTCTGAGAATAATAGAATTGTAGAGGAAGTGGTGGAATGTGGGGTGGAGGGTGTCTGGGAATGCCTCAGAGTACAGGGAGATAGGACAGATGAGGGAGCTGACCATCAGAAGGAAAGAGAGGGACAGGAAGTTCAGAGCCAAAGAAGGCAGGAGGGCATGCAGGGTCAGAGAGGGGAGCGGTGGAGCTGTTACCCACGCTCTGAGTCTTTGCTCTTGAAGTAGCCAATGAGTTTGATCTCATCCTCAATATTCTCAAATGCCTGCAGCTCCCGTTCACCTTCAATCAATTCCACAGGGTCCTCCAAGACCTGGAAGAACAAGACCATTGAGGAGACCATTTCTGTTCTCACTGATAGGATCCAAAGAGGCATCGAGGGGAAAGATAGGAGACTAGGAGAGGAGCCAGATGTTGGTAGAGGGTGGGTATGTGGCCTGTGTGTTGTACACTGCTAATGGTATATGTGTGTGGTCTAGGTGTTGCGCAATGTGTGTGATGTGTATATTCTGTATCTTCTGTTTGGCATGGGATATATGTTCGTGATATGTTGTTGCATGTGTATGTGTGGTTTATTTATGGGTCTGATGTGCATGGTATATGTCTGATATAAATTGTATATGTTGCATGTTATGTGTGATATATGTGTGTTGTGTGTCTTGTGTGCTGCATATGAGTGTGCATTGGATGTATGTTGTGTGTTTGGTATATGTGGTACATATAGATGATGTGTGTTATATGTTGTTTGAGCACTTATGAATGGTATGTGTATTTTTTGTGTGCACTGTGTCTGATCTATATGATATGTATGTGATATCTATTGTATGTTGCATGTGGTATGTGTGCAGCCTATGTAGTATATGTGTGTCAGGTTTGCGGTGTCTGTGGTGTGTGTGTGTAGGGTGTAGGGTAGATTAATAGGGCATTGGAAATGTCAAAGCTATCAGGCTCAGGGAACCCTTACATCAAGTAGAAATTCCACCAGAGTGTCCGCAGAAAATTCACCATCATACTCGATGACTTCATCTCCTTTAAACACGTAAACACTGTCCTCTTCAGTTAGTCCTAAGGAACGCATGGGAGGTGAGCTATGACCCCAGCCTTCCCTGAGTCTAACTTCTGGTTACAACCCACTTGATAACCCAGTGAACTCATCCTCCTCCACCTCTCCATTTCTCTCCCCCACCCATCTTCAACAATCCCTTAAACCCTGCATCATTCCCATGTCCATGTCTCTGCATCTCCTTCAGGAGCTAACCTCACAGCTGAGTAGGCTAAGAGGCTGGGGCAAGGAGCGGGGTGGAGGGAGCAGGTGGGGTTTGAGGGGAGGAAACAGGAAAGATGCGGATTCTAGCAACACACCTCCCTTGCTCTGCCTAGACAGACAGGGACAAATATTCCTGCCAGCAGTCTCTAACTACTGCCGTCCAGATGACTTGTTGCTACTACCCTTCCCCCATCCACATCCGGTGTCCAGCCTGTGCTGCCGCCTGGTGGCGGGTGATGTAACATCTGGGCTCTGCTAAGAGGGGGGAGGGGGAGGAGAGGAAGGGGGGAGGGAAGGGGGAGGGAAGTGGGGAGGAGTTGAAAAAGGACTTTGTAGAAGGTCTCTCTGCTATACCTGTATTCCTTGATTTCCCCTTTCCTTCCAACACTAGCTGTGTTTCCTTCTCTTCCCTCAGTTGTGTGTGTGTGTGTGTGTGTGTATGTGTGTGTGTGTTTAAATTATTTAGGTTACTTTACAAAGCAAAGTATCTACATGCATTGTTTTGTTTCACTATGTAACCCAGGAGGCTTTGAGCCCACAATACTGCTGTCTCATCCTCCCAAGTATGACAAGAATGAGCCACCACGCCCACCCTCATGCCCATCCTTAGCCATTTTCTAGATAAGCATAAAGAAGGCCACCTCTCCACCCCACTCCATCTCATTCTGGGATTGGAGCATGCATAGGTCTCTATCCAGAATAGCCCCCGATCTCAGACTCCCCACTTCAGAATAGATACGGTAGAAGAAGAGATCCTGAGCCCCTCAGGTCCCTCCAAGCCCTCCACCTAGGCCTCTCTGGTCTTGCCCCTCCCCCCCTTACCTAGTTTCTTGGCCACAGCTGCATCCTTCTCAGAGTCCACCAGGCCAAAGCCAACACCCTTGTCTTCTAGGACTTGGGCTGCTAACTGGAAGAAGGAGTCAGAATTAAAATTAGCCCCTAGCATTCTTATTAACCCCTTCCCCATGTAATGCTTTCCCATCATCAGGACAACTGAGAGACAGGAAGCTCAAACATTGACCTTGATCATTTGTTAAGGTCCAGACTATTCCCGGACACCCTATAATCTTAGCCTGTCTTTGATTCAACTTTTTTTTTTTTTAAATGAACATTTGTGTTTTGCCTGCATGTATGTCTGTGTGAGGGTGTCGGGTCCCTTGGATCTGGAGTTACAGTTGTGAGCTGCCATGTGGGTGCTGGGAATTGAACCCGGAGCCTTTGGAAGAGTGGTCAGTGCTCTTAACCTCGGAGTCATCTCTCCAGCCCTTTGATTCAACTTTTTAAAAGATCATGCGTGTTTACTGCTCATTGCAATGTTCCTGAGGGAAGCCGAGGAGTCTCACCTGCCATGAAAGGCTGGGTGGGCCCTGCCTTCCATCCTAATCAAAGTCCAAACTCAGCATAGGGGAATTTGGGATCCTCAAGTAACGCCCAAAGTGAGAACAGTGGAGGATGGGGGCAGGGGAGCCGGCCATGCTGTTGAGGGGTGGGCAAGGCCAGACAGTCAAGAGGTCACCACTCATCACCCCTGGAGGGAGAGCTACCGGCAGAAACTAAGCAGCACCCATCTCCTCCTTCCTGTAGCATCTAGCCAGTCACACAGGCTGGTCACCATCCCACAAGCCTCCCTACCCAGCACTGCACCCCGATTCTTTCTGCCATGGGCATACTTTGCAGCAGGACCCCACCCAGCACTGCAGCACACTGATTCTTAGGGGAACGGAAGGGCGGGTGGCAGGTGGATGGCAGAGGCTACTGAGCACTCAGGATAAAAATACTTGGCTCATTAATCAGACAGCGGTTTCCAGAGCCCGACAAGGCTCACAGAAATGCAAGCCTGGGGCCTGGTGTCTTATACTGAAATATTCCAAGCTCTATACAAAGTGGGGCCTCTCTGTATCACCAAGCCAGAGCAGGGCTCAGGGAAGTTCAGACAGGGAAACACAGACATATCCCAGCCCCCTTAAGGATGTGTGTGGCCATGCATCCCAATCGTAAAGCTTCCTTCCTCCTGTTTTTTTGTATTAATCGTCTCTACTGTGGGTAAAGTTAGATTGGGGGCGGGGGAAGAAATCTCTTCTCTGAAAGAAAAGATGGGGAAAGCATGCTGAAGCCCTCTTCAACCACAAGAATTTTCTAGTGAGGACTTCTGTTTGACCCAGTAGGGACAAAAGAGGAATTGGAGGAGGCAGAGGGACTGGGCTGGGAGGCCTGTGGGAGGCCTCTAGAAGATATTCAACTATATAGTCACCTAACTATGTAGTCATTTAACTATGTAGTCAGTTATAGGTAAATCAAATATCAATCATGTTTACATTTCTGCTGTTTGGGTATTGGAGTACAGCACCAAGAGTGTGAGAGGAGCATATTTTGGCTAGGAGAATATATGGGTGGTATGGGAACGCAATGCATAGTACTGCACACAGCCCCCCCCCTCCATCCCAGCCAAACCTAGTACCCTGCCTCCTACAGTACAGAGCAGGCAGACCCCTACAGCTCCTGTACCAAAAGGCTAGGTCCTTGGTCCCTGAGTCTCTTTCTTTTGGCTAAGGCCGCATTCCAGTCATGCTCTCTGTGAGGACAAAGACCCTGTGATGCTCTTACCCCAGCCGCCACCCTCAGACATGGGGCTCACAGAGGGGACTGGGCATGCTCTTCAGGCCTGCTCTCCTCTACTTACCTCCAGGATTAGCTCCTCCATCTCAAACTGTCTTTGGGAGGCCTTGTCGTCCTCAGGGGGCTCATGGTAGAGGAGGGCCAGCACCTCATACTTCTTGAACACATTCTTGTAGTTCTTTGCATTCACATTGATCACACGGTCCACACCATCGTATTCAGGGAAGTCCAGCCCTTCCTCCCCCTGGACCCCTGACTTGGGTGTCCCTAGCACCAGTACAAACAGCAGTGCTAGCCTCAGCTTGGCCCCTGCCCTGGCCCCCATCCTGTCGGTAGCTCTCATGAAGGTAGTGGGATCTGGGTCTGCTCTCCTGGTTCAGAGGAGGTTTAGCTGAGATAGGGAGGTACCCCTGGATACAGAATCCTGAGTTAGGGGCTCCAGGTGGGGGTGGGGTAGGGAGTGGGCCAGAGCAGTGGACAGAGGACACTGCTGGGCCCCAGAGAAACTGCCTGCCGATAGAGCCAAGTGAAAAAGGGTCAGGAGGAGGGACGGGGGGCAGGGGCGGGCAGGGAACCGGAGCTGCCCCTTGAAACTGGCACCCCTCCGTCCCCACCTGGTCCTGTCTAAATATGTCTCTGTGGTTGGCAGGAGAGATGGATAACCTTCTGAGGCCAGGACAGCTCCCTGAGAGCCTGAATCCTCCCGCCTCCTACACCTCTTCCCTAGGCTCCCAACAACCCCTTCCTTCCCCCTCCTCCAGTGTCCAGGGCTCCTCAGCCCCTGGCCCCACACGGGCCTAAGAGCTCATCGCCATATTAAGAAAGAGAAAGGGAGAGATGCCAGATCTAAAAATAAGATCAGATGAGTTAGGGGTAAGTGAAGCCGGGGCTGGAGGAGGGGAGGTGTAGGGGTAACCGGGGATCCCAGGGTAGGACAAGGCTAATCAGAAAGAAATGTAGGTGAAGAGGAGTTTGGGTCAGAGGCTAAACTGAAAATACAGGATGAAATGGGGGGTGGGGGAAACGTGGTATTTCTTCTGACTCGTAAAATCTGGCGATCGACTATAGGTAAAATCTATTTCTTTGATCTTATGGAGGAGGGGGGGGGGGATAAAAGTACATTCCAGGCTCCAGGAAAGAAACCCCCTGCAGTTCCCTTTAAAGAATGTGGACCAAGGATGAGATCATTCTCTGAATAAAAGATGGAGTGGAGTCCAAGACCAGAGACCTGGCTTAGCTCCAGTCTGTTTCCTTTGCCTCACTCAACAGTCCTAACTCAGGAATGCAGGGGGAAGGACAGGGCTGGTCCATACTCCATCCTGTAGGGATGTGGACCTGGGCTTTCTCTGCGTGTGAGGACCACTTTGAGGAAGGGACTGCTGCTTGGCTGCTTCCTCTGAATGTTCTCTGCCCTGATCCTGTGGGACTCCGTTTCTAGGACATAGTGGGCTGAGAGGATTCCCCAGGTTGCATGATTCTAAAGAGAGCTAATAGCTACTATTTATTCCTATGTCTTTGATAAGGCACAGATGATCCGGTATAAACATGGGAAAAATCAACATGAGGTAAACAGGAAGAGATGGGCCCTGTGCCCTTACCCAAGGCTGTAGATTAAGTCTGTGAATCTGAGACCCAAAGCAGAGCTGGAGGTGTGAAAGCTGTAATTTCAGGCTCCTAGCTTGGAGGTGAAGAGTTGAATTTAGCTTTAAGTGTCTAGCACGACCCCTTTTATGGCCTTCTAGGGCTCATACTGTATAGGTAAACTGAGGCTCAAGGGGGATCATGGAGAAATCACATTAAAGTCAGCCTTCCTTGTCCCCTGTGCGCGATATTTCTCGTTCTAGAAGGATAGTGTTTATTTTGCATCTAAGGTAGAAACATGAAGTTTCATTAGCTGAATAACTTCTCCCATTGCCATGGGGCAGACCTTATGCAGCTAACTTAACGTTCTTAGGAACATAGCAGGAGTGGGTACAAGAGGAACAGCTGTCCCTGGAGCAGGGGAGGCCAGAGACAGCCCAAGCATGGCACTGGAGTGGGGGGACCCCAATCCTGCCTCTCGATCTCCCAGGAGAGTGCCTGATGTACCAGGCAGAGCTTAGGGCCCTGGCTGCAAAGGCCACCCAGGGAGATCCAGCCTTGGTGTCTTGTCTCTGCAGGGTTCTGGGGAGAGGTAAATGTCTGAACAGACAATGGAGAACTAGATTTCTTCCATTATGAATTGGATTTTTGGAATGAGACGGGACTCCATGGTGACCCTGGCCCCTTCAGCTCCTCCTATGTGGCCACCACTCGCCACTGGTGGTGGCCCTTTCTGGTTCCATTTCCACCCTTCACCTCTTCAGCTCCTACAGTCACTTCTCTAAGCCTCCTCTCTCTGTGCTTCACTCTACTGTCTACTCAGCCCCCTTCCTTCCAGGCTCCCTGTGTGCAGGCCCCTGGATTTAACACGCCTCAGCCAGCCGTATCAAATGACCCTGAGTTGGGGCATCAGTATTTTTAACCCACCAGACACTCAAAGTTCCTCACTACTGAAACTTGAGGAGCTGGTCCCTCCGCCTCCCCCTCCCCATCTCACTCACATACCTCCCCACCTCGGTCGGCTTCCATCTTCCAGGGTCTGTTTCAGCCCTGTCAGCACCCCGGGTGGACCCCAGACCGATATAGCTCTGTCCCCAGGAGACCTTGTGTTGGAAGAGGAAAGGAGTGGAAAGAAACCTCTGAGCAAGGGGCCAGATACAGAGAAAGGGGGCCTGGCTACACCTCCCAATGGGAAGGGTTTTCGTTTTGTTTTCTGCCAGCGTGCAATAGAGCTCATGCTCTAGATCCACACTCCTCTACCGTTATCCCACTTATTTATTTTTTTTGTTTTGCTTGTCACTGTGTTTGGTCCCAGTGACCACTGTAAGACTAGTTTGAAAAGTGGTTAGTGGTAAAAGTTCCTGAATGAGGCTCTAGTTCCTCTACGAAACAGAGTGGAGTGGTGGGAATAGAGTGCTGAGAACTGATGGTGGGTCTGGCCCTTGTCCAGATGCCAGGAGGTGTGCAGGTTGCACATACATGTGTTGCCTTTTGGGAACAGCTGCTGATTTCCAGTGTTCCTCCGCATTCCTCTGTATCATTGGGGCAGGGAGCTCTAAAGGGGACCTGAGAATGAACTGGGAGTCCTATTGCAAAGCAGAGGTGCTCACTGAGCAGAAACGAGTGCATGAAGGGGAAGGACAAGGTGGGGAGGAACCTAGGCAGGAGGGTGGGTAGGAGTGAGGCTCCTTGCACCTTTTCACTAAGATCATACCAGTAAAGCTCGGGTCCAGGGCTCAGCATGGAGTTCAGCGATACAGTATTTGCCCAGCATGCGTATAGCCTGTCTCAAGGTCATACCAGAGAGAAAGGGCTAAAGAATGGGATAGGACAGAGATGTCCTGATGACAGGACTAATGGGCAGGGACCACCAGTCTACCCTCGAGGAGGGACCCCCCCCCATGTGACCATTCCCAAGTCATTGAACCTTGCTGGACCTGATACTGTTAGGTCTCTTTTAGAGCGACGACTGTATGGCCTGTAGTCTGGCCTCAGGAAAGCCAAGTCAGAGTCTATATTATTTGGCCCCATAAGTCCCAAATGTGGGTACAGATATGGGTGCTATGATACCTCTACAAGATGTAGCTCAAAAAAAAAAAATGTAGCTCAGCTGGCCTTCTCTTGTCTCCTTTTTCATTAGCTGGTTCTAGCTAGACTTTGGGGGTATCCTCTTGTCCCTTATACTGACAGGACATCGGAGATTGATCTTAAAATGGGAAATACCCTTTAGCAACAAATATGCTTAATCTTCTGTTTTTAAAGGCAGGATCTCACTGTGTAGCCCTGCCTGGCCTGGAATTCGTCATGTAGACAGGTTGGCCTCAAATTCACAGAGATCTACCTGCCTCTACCCTCCAAGTACTGGTATTAAGGGTATGTGCCACCACATCCAGCCCCAGATGCTTCATTCTAGTATCTTCTCAGCCTCCTCTCAGGTCTCTGGAGGTCTCCCTTGCCCAGTCACAATGTAGGTGTAGGAAGGGAGCTTTATAGCACCCTTCCCCAAACCAGACTTCTACACACTGAGTTAGGTGAGGGCTGTTTCAAACATTTACTCTCTAGACTGTCTGTTGTATGTAACAAGACTGCACCTCCTCGCCGGGCTCCAGGCAGAGCAGGCTGGGCTTTCCCCACCCCACCCCATCTCCTACCAGATGCTCTTGGTCCAGCCCCAGGAATGTTGGTCTGTCTCATCCAGAGTAAATCCAACCCAGTGTCTCTGCCCCCCGCTCAGCTTTATCTTAGATGTCATGTCACACTTAGTCTCGGCTTTTGTGAGACCAGTGTCATGTGAAGAGCTTCCTCTGCTGCATTTAGTAGTATGTCTCCTTCTCCAGCCATCCTGTGGAGAAGAGACAAAGCGAACTGAGGGGGTCATCAGGAGAGGTTGTGCAGGAGAGCTCAGCAGAAGGGCAGATAAGGACCAGGTGGAAAGCCTGCCTCATGGAACAGGGCCCTTGAGCACTGGGAGGACCATGTGGAGTCAGGAGTCGAGGACAAGGGTCCAGGAAGAGCAAAGGACAGACAGTGAGGGAAAGAAAGCCAGTGGGTGTGGAGGAGCCAGATGGGATGGGACAGCTCTCTAGAGTGTTATTGACCACTTAAGAGCGAGGTCCAGGGCAGCCTTACCACCAGGCCGTCGACGGATGATGAGTTTTCTGAATTCGTCATAGATGAAGATGAGAATACTGTAGGGAATGGCACAGAACCACCAGTTGATCCTGCAGAGAGCAAGCGTTGGTCAGTGTGGCCGAAGATACAGGGGCCAGAGAAGGGTAAGCAGCAATGGTGCATGGCAACTCCGGAGACTGAGCTGGGTGCTGGAGACGGGGAGGTGAACTGAGACACAGTAGGTGCTCCTTTTGAGGAGGTCAGAGCCTGAGTGCTAAGGGATTGGGGGTGGAGAGGAAAGACACAAGACAAATCTAAAATGCCAATGGCAATATGGTAAATGTCATGTCCAGAGTTAAATGCAGCATTTATGGAGATTGTCAGCTGACTTTCATGAGCTGATGGGAGAGTCCCTCCTTTCCCCCTGCTGCTTTTTCTTGCAGTTATGGAAGGGAATATATACACTTATTTATGTGTGCTTATATGTACTCTCATGTTGCCAAATAGACTCTTTTTTCCCCCTTTTGAGCATTTTCTATAATTAGGGACCAGGAAGATGGACTCAAGGAGTTTTATACCCTTGAGTGACAGAGAACCAGGCATAAATCACCAACACTGTTCAACAGCGCTATAATGCAAGGGTGGGGAGGTGGATGGAGATAACGGCTCAGCGGACAAAGGGCTTGCTGCACAAGCCTGGTTACCTGGGTTCGGATCC